ACTGGATCACTTTTGCTGATTTGATTCATATTTTTTTTTATATGACCAATGTTTTAGTTAACCCTTTCGCGGTGGGAGGCGGTTTTCTCGCGCTTTAACACTATTACCAAAACAAGGTGGAAAATGAGCTTGTAAAAGAGCGAATTTTGCGCCCTTTTAGCTTTTCCTCCAACTCTGTCTACCATGTTTCGTAACTACCAATCGCAGCAGTGAATAGAAAGAGGTTGGAGGTAATTTTGGATCGTCTGCTCAACGCACAGTATTTTATTGCTCCAACGACCGTAATCGGCCCTTTCTACGCGGTCGTGCCATGGATCTAGCGGTCAATCGCCTGACAGCCAGTCACCAGATATACAAAAGGTAAGACGAATGCACCTCTCCGACCTCCCATTTCGCTATAGTGTACTCAACACTAATGCGCACTACCTTCACAGACACTGAAGATAAGCTGCTGGTGCAGATCGCCTTTCAATTCGAAAGGGAGGGCTTACGAATCACATGGGCCTACGTGGCCCGCCCGAATGCAGACCAAGCTGCCCGGCTGTCAACTGCGGCTTCGGCTGGCTAGCATCAAGCGGACCTATGGAAAGGCGATAAGTGGCTTTCCGCCATGTTTTCTCCGCGGCATGCCATCAGGCGTCTTCTCGGAGCGCTGAGGTCACAACCACCACCACCCCTCGTTTGCAGCAAGTCGTAAACCAGCATGCCGACCTTCTGCTACTTCGTCAAATTCTCTACTTCTCGGCGGCGATCGCCACATGCCAGGTTCGTCTCTTTTGGGGATATTTGCATGCCGATCGTGAGACTGATGACGATAAGTTGGTGGCGATACGCATGGGAGCGCCGCCGGAGGCAGTCAGATGGCAGACGACGTGGATCAGGGAAACCAAGACTGTAGAGGTGAGGATACAGGACCCGCTGGCGGCTATATTGCGCGATATTGCGGGGGATGCTGTCAGCCACAGGTGACTCAGGCGAAAAGCGCTTCAGGTGAGTCTAGGATGGTTGGTTCCACAATTGAGCGTCGGCAAAATACTAACCTGTGTGTGTAGGTGGCTGGTGTTGGGGGACTGTGGGAGGCAATCTGAATCCAGCTGAAGCTGCAGAAGCCGTGAATATCCTTTTTCGAAGATATAAGTGCTCACGACGTTCGCCAGCCCGCTGGACGCACATATGACAATGCTAGTGAGGTGCTACCGTCCAGTGTCACCCTTCTACTTGCTGCCGTCGGACCACTCGGCGAAGCTGACGTCTTTCTTGACGTCGGATCTGGCGTTGACAACGTGCTTGCGCAGGTAGCACTTACAACGAACGTCAGAACGTGCATCGGGATCGAGCTGCGAAGGGAGCTCGTCTCCCTTGGACGACGATGCATGCAGCAGGTACGCAAGCAGTACCCAACGGCTCAGTAAGGTGCTGCACAAGCAAGTCGATGTAGGAGATGTTACGATGTCACGGCATTCTCCCATTTGCGAAGCCACAATTGTCTTTGCTAACATCTTTCTATTTGAAGAAGATGCTAAGCTGATTGTTTCACGAGAGCTAAGCGCAATGCCAGAGGCATGGGTGATAGTTTCAACGTCGCTCTTCAGCCCTAGACATCGATCACCGTGCTCGGAGCCGTGCTGCAAGAGTTGGAAACTGGATCATCAACTAGAAGTACAATGTAGCTGGAAGGCTACCCCTCATCCGATTTACATATACCGTAATAAACTTTGATCCATTCTGCTATCTCATACTTGCTTCTAATCAAAGTCTTTTCGATGCTCATGAGTGCCGCCACCAGAGCAAATGCAGCTTCGCCACCCAGTCTGCGTGCGGCAGCAGCAACCCCGGTAGGTGCAGTATCATCATGTCCTAGTGTAGCAGTAGCCCATACGTCATGCGAGTAACCACTGATTCCGTGAGCACCGCCGAATTCATGAGCGTTGCCGTCACTGACTGTGCCAGCCGCACCGCCAAGTCCGCGGGTGCCATCACCAAGTCTGTAATCATCCAGACCTCCATGTCTTCGCGCGTCGTCGCTGACAAGTCGGCAAGCGCCACGGCTACCAACTGTATGTGCTGCACCACCAAGCTCGCGCCAACCTTCGCTGTCTGTGCGAGCAGAAGCACTTAGCCTACCACCGACTCCGCTAGGGTCACCAAGGCTACGTGTGCCGCCGACACCGGCTGCACCAGCGGCACCACCAAGTTTGAGCCCCTCGTCTCCAAGTCTGCGCGCGTCGTCACGGCCAAGTCCGCGCTCGTCGTCTATGGCTAGTCCTGGAGCTCCGTCGCCGCCATCAAGTTCGTGTGCACCCCGCCTGTGAGAACGGCACCACTGCCACGTCGGCGGGCTTCACCACCACGTCCACTAGTGCATCCGATCTCGCGAACATCACGACGGGCACCACTAAGTCTGCTAGCCAACACACTTTCAGTCCTATCGTCCAAACGGCTGTCGCCGTCTGGTCCAGGCGCAGCTAGTCCAGTCGAAAGATTGCCACTGCCAAACGCAACCAACCCTGGCGGAGCATTACCGCTAATCCCGAAAACAGCAAGACCCTGTGTATCATCATCTCCTTCGTTGTCAAGTGCGTGAGCGATGGCATCTCCGAGATCTGCCCCGTACGCAATTTGGCGAGCGGTAGCAGACCGCCTTGCAGCTTGAGACCTGGGTTCGTGCGCATCCTTCAACTTGGCGAGTTTGGAGTGTCGCCTGACATTTTCCCTTTATCTGTAAACAATGCGTTAGAGTAGTAGTAATTTGTGGTACTTATCCCAGCATGTTGATGTCGTCGACGGACACATCCATGGCTGGGCGGGACGTGGTGCCCAACTCGACACAAACAGCACACCATGGGTGAGGCACTAGTTGGTAATCTCGGTATGATATGCGTGCCCTCCACATGCGACAAACAATACAGGCGGCGCGGCTTTCTGTTCTTTCTGGAACATGAATTTGTCTTGGAAGACAACGAGAGTAAATGCAGTGTTGCGGGAGCACACCAACTACACTAGGCGAGGGGCTGGGGAAGAGGGCGTGTTGAATTTGACTTTCTTTTCCCTCGTCCACCCAATTCTCCGCTGTATAGCATGCGACCGTCGCTGGGTGCTTTCTTCCATTGTCCATTGAGAAGCTCACCAACTAGCCCCATCACAAACTTTCTATGGGGATCACGGGTTACTGGCTCCGCCGGTACCAAACGTCGCGTAAGATACGCGTTGGAGCGCGCCACATCGATGAGCGCGAGCGCCAACTTCTTGTGCCAGCGTTTGTACGAACACCCATCGGCAGTTGAGAATCGCCCGCATATTTGATCAAGGCGATCAACACCTTGCATATTGGTATTATACTGAGAGACGCACTCTGGAGCTGCAAACGACTGCTTCTC